GCCCGCCACAACGCCCAGCTATTTTTTGGTTGCAGCCATCATTGTTGTTTGGCGGGTCCGGGCTGGGGATTCGAACCTGCCACCTTAGGTGTACATGGCTGGCACCTTAGTAGCTCCTTTCCATTCTAAAGAGTGTCTTTTTTTCTCAGTCTCTATGCCAAGTATTGTGCTGGTTGTAATTTCCACCAAGCTTTCTGCTTTCTGATAAATGGCCCCATTGACTCTTCTCAGAAAAATCTCTTTCCAAGAGAGTTTCAAAAAAAAAAAGGGCATATAAAATAGAAGAAGTTGAAAGTTTGTAAATTCCCTCTGGGTTTGTTTTGTTACTCAGAGCCCCTGTTGAGCTCCCTCCTGCGCAGGATGCCAGAATTAGAGACTCTGGAGATCATGAAGTTGGTGAATTGCCCGGAGACCTTCACACCTGACATGAGGTGCATCATGGGCGAGTCTCCTGCAGTGCAGGGCTACTTTGTCTTGGCAGGAATGAACTCTGCGGGCCTTTCGTTCGGAGGAGGAGCTGGGAAGTAAGTCTTTCACTGAGTCAGCTGTGAATATATGTCAGTTTTCTGGGCTTCTTCCCTCCTAGAATTACTTGTTAATATGGTATTTAGCATTTATTTAGTACATTTAATCTAGTATGTCAGTAATAATAGTAAGATGTATATAATTTGAGAATAGTTCACTTCAAAGTATGGGAGGCTGGCCCATATTACAGAAATATCATTGTGCAAAATGTTTTGGAACTCCTTTTTTGGAGTTAGCCACAGAACCTGTGGGTTGTTCTTTGGTACTTTTTCAGTTGTACTGTGTTTCTCCAAAAATAAGACACTGTCTTATATTTATTTTTTCTCAAGAAGACACACTAGGGCTTATTTTCAGGAGATGTCTTATTTTTATTAAGTATAATACAACAATCTACATATATTCAAATACAGTTAAGTCATCTTCTTCTGGAACCTGACAGGGAGCCAACCTTGTTGGTGGGGCTGGCGCTAGTGATGCATGAACTCCTTTCCCCTAGCCATTTGCACGTGTGCAATAGGATGCCTGCACACAACTGCAGTTACCACATGCAAGCCCACTCAAGTGCAAATGGCTTGGAGAAAGGAGCTGTGGCAGATAAAAGGTATTCCAGTCTTCCTTACCACTCCACACCGAAATGCATGGCGTGGCTATGCAGATATGCTACATAGCCATGCCCATCACTAGGTCTTATCATTGGAGTAGGGCTTATTTTTAACAAATGCATAGAAATCCTACTAGGGCTTATTTTGGGGGTAGGTCTTATTTGGGGGGAAACATGGTAATAAATGTTGATCCTTTGAGTATGTATTTGAGTTTGCAAGTAGCATAGTGTATTAAGTGAGATAGGTGGATAATAACAAGTTTTTATTAAAAAAACTTGAGCCTGTGGCTCAAGTGGCTAAGGCACCAGCCATATACACCTAAGGTGGTGGGTTTGAATCCAGCCTGGGCCCGCCAAAACAACAATGACGGCTGCAACCAAAAAATAGCCAGGCGTTGTGGCAGGCACCTGTGGTCCCAGCTACTTGGGAGGCTGAGGCAGGAGACTCGCTTGAGCCCAGGAGTTGGAGGTTGCTGTGAGCTGTGATGCCATG